TAAAGGAGAAATGCCCTTGCTTGCTCCTAACAAACAGAGCCTATCCAAGAAAAATCAATTACTATGAAGCTGAGTTTGACTCTGTTCTTGTGTGCTTAGAATCCTTTTAAAGTTTTCTCAGGTTTTATGTGGAAATTCATGCCAAACTTTTGGGCACCATGTTTAGGCAGAAGACTTCTGTCTCAAAGCTGCCCAGTCCCAAATACCCAGCAGCTGCTTCCCAAATCACCACACTGAAGCTTAATATTACTTAGAAATGCTCAACCAATAGCTCAGGCTTATTACTAGCTATCTCTTACATTTTAAGTTAATCCATGTTATATTTATGCTCTGCTATGTGATGATACCTTTTCTTAGTATGGCATGCCCATCTTGCTCTCTCTGCATCTAACCAGCATCTTCTGACTCTGTTCTTCCCATCATCCTTAGTTTGGTCACCCTGCCTTTATTTTCTGCCTACTACTGACCAATTAACATTTTTTAAAACAATTCAAATGACTCTATACAGTGTACAAGAGTATTATTTCACAATAACTCCAACACTTAGATTTCTGTATGTTCAATGTGCAGAATGTCAGCATGCTGAATATGCAATGGATTGTCATACAAATGGGTAAGTGAATAAAACCATTATACACACTTTGAATTCTGTTCTCATACTTAATGCACATCCTGATATACCATAAAGTTTTTCTGGAAATAAGTAGAATTGGGTTAATGCCAATTAAAGAAATGCCCAATTAAAGAAAGTTCCCTTACAATAATTTGGTTGCAATAAACACATGTCAGAGAATTTTGCACAGGCTACTTCAATAGGGGTGAGGAAAAGCTAGCTAGTAAAGAGAAGGCTATTTCAGGCACCAAACTGAACTGGGTCAAAAAATCTATTCTGTGAATTCTGAACTACACCTATTTAAAATGATCAATGATAATAAACATCTAACATTGTGACAGAGGTTTCTGTCCTGCACGGTCCTATGTTTGTTCAGTCCCAAAGAAACACACAGAGGCTGACATTATTTATAAACTGGCTGGCCTATTAGCTCAGGCTTTCTTATTAACTCTTACATCTTAAATTAATGTTGTAAAAGGAGCAGCGGGCTGCATTCCTGACTAGATCCCGGCTGCCTGGCTAGCTTATGCCCAAAATAATCACATGGAAATCTGTTTTAATTAAATTGCTGCCTGGCTCATTAGCTCTAGCCTATTCTTGGCTAATTCTTACATCTTGATTTAACCCATTTCTAATAATCTGTGTAGAACTATGAGGTCATGGTTTACTGGGAAAGATTCAGCATGTCTAACCTGGCAGCTTCATGGTGGCGGCTCTCTGCTTCTGCCTTCTTCCTCCCAGCTTTCTGTTCTGTCTACTCCGCCTATCTAAGCTGCTATCCTATCTAAAGGCCAAGGCAGTCTCTTTATTTAAACAATGAAAGTAACACATAGACAAAAGACCCTCCTTCACCAAATTAACCCATAATTCTTGTCTATGTTAGCCATGTGGCTTGGTACCATTTATCAGTAAAGCATTCTCAACTTGCTTCCTCTGTGTCTGGATGATGACTGCAGACTGAGCCTTTCTTTTTCCCAGAATTCTCCTGTTCTGGTTGCCCTGCCTGTTCTTCCTGCTTGGCTACTGGCCAAACAGCATTTTATTAAACCAGAATAAGGGACAAATCTTTACAGAGTACAAGACCATTGTCCCATGGCATAACATAATAAAATACTAAGGAATGTATGTATGTATGTTTTTAAGAGCAATAATAATAAATGGTTTCATATTGAACTTACCTTTGCAAGTCTGTCATGCAATGTTTCTCTATATGTGTTTCTCATGAAGTGACTTTCATATGAATTTTCTTTTTATTTATGGCTGATTGCTTGAAAAAATTCCAATTCACATGGTTCTCTAATTGAATATACAAATTTGAAGAAATTTGTTTTCTCTTTCTCTTTTCCTTTTTTTAAACATGACTTTAAGAGATAGAGACAGGGATCTATCATCATAAAATCCTGAGAAAGAAACAAACTTGGGGCTGGAAAGTGGCTCAGAGATTAAGAGCAGTGCCTGCTCTTCCAGAGGTCCTGAGGTCAATTCCCAGCAACCACATGGTGGCTCGCAACTATAGTACTCAGATCTACTGCCTCCTTCTGCCATGCAGGTGCACATGCAAGAAGAACTATTTTTTTTTTAAGAAATCTTGTTGAAATTAGATTTGTCTAATTTTTTTATTCTTTCTTCACCCCCCCCCCCAACACCTTGGTTCACACTGGTTTTTTGAGACAAGGTTTCATCTGTCTAACAATCCTACCTGGCCTAGAAATCTCTTTGTAAACTAGGCTGGCCTCAAACTCACAGAGATTTGCCTGCCTCTGCCTCAAGTGTTTGGATTAAATGTGTGCACCATGCCCAGCTGTCTGTCTAACTCAGTGCCTTTCCTTATTGCTGCTTTTGAGAGACCATTAGTTAGACAGACTGCCTGGTAAATAGATGATAGGGTGAAGGACCATGGCTAGGGAATAAATGTGGCCAGCTTCTTCTTTACCTTTCTGACTTAAAAGCCCAATAGCTTAAACCTGTGATTCTCAACTTTCCTGATGATGTGACCCTTTAATACAGTTCTCATGTAGTGGTGATCCCCCACAATAAAATGATTTCATTGCTATTTCATAACTTTGATTTGCCTATTATGAATCATAAAATGAATATCTAATATGCAGGATATCTGATATGGGACCCATGTGAAGGTCGTGACACATAGATTGAGAATGGCTGCCTTAAGCCAAGAGTTTTTCAGGCTCTTGTCTCTTACTGGCTGGTCCCCTGCTGATGGACTGACTCTACAAATTCAAAGCCTGCTCAGGACAAGCCCCACAATAGTTCTGAGCCAATCAACCATACTTGCTTTCTTCAAACTGGCCAGCTCTAAATTAGGAAAGGAACGTTCTTCAGAGGCTTTACAATTTGAGAAGAAACTGGATTTTCCAGCTTTCAGAAGCTTTCTCTGCTTTCAGATGACCTTTCCTATGTGTGTCTACTGCATGTATGTTTCTTTACCCTCAGCAAACACCTTTCTTCCATTGCTGATTCTGTCTCTGCTGCTACTACAGAGCTCCTGGGTCTTCCTGCCTTTTAATTGTCTAACTGGGATAGAGAATGAACCTGATCAAGATTCCTAGACTTTATCACACGCCCACACCCCCTGTTTGTTTGTTTTTTTTTTTAACTTAGTAGCATGTTACCAGCAGAATGCACTGGTTGGGGGCACAGAGACTAGCCCAGTTTTTCTTGTCTCGAAATCCTTTATTTTGGGAACCTAAATTCCCAGCAGGACACAGTTTTGGAAAGGCTACCAAATTTCAAAGTCAAATGTTGACTCTTTCCTGTGCTAACAGCCCTAGCACACTGCCTCTGACTGTGATTTCTTCAACAAATCTTACCTGGAGGAAATGTTAGTCAAAAAGAAAAAAAATAGAGCTTAAGTTCTTTAAAATAAATAAATAAAAAGCAAAAAAGGAAAGAAAAAGAAAGGGGAAATGTGAAATGTTAATCTGAATGACAAAGTGAATGAGTCATTATTTATGAAATTTAAACATTTTGTTAATAATAATTTTCTTTGTTACAGGCTTTCTCATGAGCAGCATGGGACTCCCCTCACCTGATGATGCCACATGAAACTTGGTGCTGTGACTTTGGTCCAATTCAGATCTAGGTTTGAACCTGGCTTCATTTCTGGTTTTTGTTGTTTTGTATTATATCAGTCATGCCTATCTGCCTGGCTTATTGCAAAGTCCCTTCCTTGGTGCCCAATTCCCTGCTCCACTGATTCCTCAGGTCTGTCTGTCGTGCTTCCTTACTGAGCATCTGTGGATAGAAGACCAGCAACAAGAACTGGTCTCATTTGTCCCATATACCAGGACTGTGTTTCTCCATCTCAGAGAAGTAATGCAAGCTTTGCATCTGTTCTGGTGGCCTAGTGGCTTCTTGTTAGGGTGGAAGCAAAGTTATCAGATATTCAGGAGTAAACCTACCTAGCTGGCAGTGGTTGAGTAAAAACAAAACCGGACAGGCTCAGTTTGGAGCGATGAAGTCTGCCTTTTGGCTTTTTTGTGGGAGGACGAGAGTTGAAAGCAGGAGGTGTAAAAGGTTGCTCAAGAGAGAAGGGTGCGAGGATGAGAGGGAGTTGAGAGCAGAAGGGAAAAGAGAGAAAGGAAGGGCAATTGGTAAAGGAAGGGTAGGAAGTATTGAGAGGTTGGCCCCAGGCTGAGAAGTAGGAAGGTAAGTGTGGGTCTCTAAATATCACTGCCAGAGCCAAATGCCCTGTAGCTCTAGAGATGGGATCTCAGTTATGTCGCCTCAGAAAGCAAATGAATGCTAAGTGAGAAAAAGCACAATTGAAACTCAGACAAGGGGCCAATCGGCAAGGTGATAGGAAAACTCAGTAGGTCATGAGTCATTAGCACTTAACTACAGGCCTAGAGACAATGGATTTCTGTCTTCCTCAAACTGCTCCGCCACTAAGCACAGGGGTGTCTGGCAAACAGGGGGCAGTGTTAAACCTATCATTAATGATAGGTGTGGAATGTGCTAATGATATGAAGGATGAATATTCAGTGGCTTTGGGGAAAGGAAGGGAAGGCCAGGGTGACTAAGATTTCACAAGGGAAGAAGGGGGCTGGATGGAGCTATGTAAGGCTGAGAGAGCATGAAGACAGAACAGATAGAGTTTTACACTTGTTGACACCGCATTTTGTAAAGCACTCGGAATAAATAGTGCACTGCTAAGTACACGCTGAACTGAATGCAGAAGCCTGAATTAACAAAGTAGTCGATGGCTGGAAGTGAGGTTGTGAAGAGTTAGCATGTACCTAGAGACAACTTTTCAATGCCCGGGATTCACATTTCATTATTTTCGGGCCTAAAGTTTTGAACCTTTGATAGATATTTTACTGGCAGGACTCTTGGCTCTAAAGAGCAGAGGAAAATTCAAAACAATTACCTTTGTTATCTGCAATCCACATAAAGAAATCTTCTATCAGGTATACAAAATTTGGAGCATCCAAAGTCTAGGAGCTGCTTAACCTGGTGAAGAAGCATTAATTTATCATATAATAAGCACAGAGGCATATAATTAAACCCTGCCTACTCCCACTCTTTTTGCAGGCAAAATCTGCTTCTTTTTAGCTTCTTAGACAAGCATATAGAAGTCGTCCACGCTATGGACTAACACTAACATAACGATCTAAATTAAAGCCATCGGTGTTTGTCGGTTCTTACACACTGCAGGCAGTTGTTTGGATGTCAGGATATCAACACTTGTGTAGTGAATGATCTTGTCACAATGTGTAATCATTCTCTTAATACCCAGGATTTGGAAAGATTGTGCTTCTTAGGATGCAATGGCTACAAAAGAGGGGAAAGAAAAAGTAAAACCTTAACAAAACAGAAAAGCAGAAATGAAAACTGAGAAACAGATCCCTCCTGTAAATCATTAGTAAAGAGTGGTCAGAATGAATTCTTTCTACTTGTAACTGGGATTTTCACAGCTGGTGGGGTAGCCAGTTTAGAATGCCACTGAAAAGTGCACACTGGATAATTTACAAAAAATTGACTCAGTCCTTGCCATCCTGGAGGCTAGCAGTCGGAGCTGAGGTAGTCAGCACAAACAGGCCCCACTGAGCATCTTCTTGCTGGCTGCAGACAGCTGCCTCATGGCCTTTCATGGTGGAGTGAGGGAGTCTTCTAGGGCCCTTTCCACAAGAACATTAATTTCATGCTTGGAGGTTTCCCTGCCCCCAAAGCCCGATCAAAGACTCTACCTCAAATGGCATCATACTCAGAATTAGGATTCAATGTGTGAAGCTGACTCGGGTAGGGCACATTCCAGCACATAGTTCTGGTTATCCATGTCTGACCTTGCAATGAACACTTCCACGTAAGTAGGAGGGATGAAGAACTCAAGCACTGGGCTTACTCTTTCTGGGGAACCACTGGACTTGTCTCTGTGAGGACCTCACTTTCACTAGAGTTGCTGCTGGACCTGTACCTTAGGAACAAGAAACACCCGAGAGTGCAGTCAGGCATGACAGAGCACACTGGACCTGCGATGAGAAGGGGTGGCTGGGGTTCCAAAATATATTCATATTCATCTATGTTTTATTTATCCCTGGTAAAAACATTCTGAGTTGAGTGAGCTGGGCCTGGAACAATGGGTCATAATTATATGCTCAGTGTATCAGAGGTTCAATGTAGAAGATGTTTGTTTTGTTTTATTTTCCCAAATAATCAACACTGAAATTTACTATTACTTTAAAATGCTTGGCCAATAGTTCAGGCTTCTTACTAGCTAACTCTTACCTCTAAATTGACCCATGATTCTTATCCACACTCTACCCTATGGCTTGATACCTTTTTTTTTCATGCCCATCTTGCCTCTCTCTGCATCTGCTGGTGACTCCTCTGACTCCACCCCTCTTCATTCCAGCATTCTCTGTCTCAGGCTGTCTTGCCTAATCACTTCTTGCCCAGCTATCAGCCAATTGGCTGTATATTAACAATGAGAGCAATACGTATTTTCAGTGTGCAGAAGGATTATCTCACAGCAGCTCATCTGAGCTTTGCAGGCTTCCCCCATTCAATACGGTGATAAATATCTTTCAGAAACGTCATACTCCAGAATAACTGCCACTAATTCTTCTCATCAGTTGAACAGAAAGACACTGTGTCATAGGTACAAAAAGAGGGTTTTTAATTCTTCATCGGGTGTTATCCCACTGGCAACAAATATTAGTGAGGTAAAGAAATAAACAGCTCTCATTCCTTTTCAGTTACAAAGTCAACAGGTACTTATTGTAAAACTCAAACATTCAGAAATGTTTGTATAAAACAGCACAAGTCTAGATTTGTAAGCCACTTTGTAAGATGAGAGGCAAAGAATGGTATAGGCTAATACTGTTAAGCATTAACAAACCAGGTAAATGCTCAACACGGAGGTATTTGCAGCCCTTTACAAGAACAGGGGTCATGGAACGAAAGCAGAAACCAGAGAGAGGCTCTCTCTTTTCCCCTCTCCTGAAGTGGGCCTTTCCCCTAACTAAATAAAAGCTCTGAGCAAACAGCATTGTTGTGTTGCTGTTTTGGGAGACTCCCTCCTCTGACCCTCGGAAAGGACCCCGGCATCTCCAGGCTTTTGTGAGGAAGTGTTGTACAGCAACCAGAAAGTTTGATCCTGTGTTGATCAAGGTAGCTAGGTGCCTGCTAAGAGACCTACGCTTTTCCCCATCCTCCTCAGTACTAGCTTGTCTGTTGGGTCAAGGTCACACTGTCTTCTAAGGGGCACCTCAAGCAAGAATTTAAAACCCAAACCCCAAGCAACCTTGTGAATTTTACAACAAGCACCAAACTGTTTTCTCAGAAGGAAGTACTGCTTTATAGTTCCATGAATATTATTCTGACACCTTTCGACAAAACTGAACTTCAGGAATACTTCAGTCTCTGTAAAATGTATTCCTAATTGTTTATTTTTATTAAACATTGTTGAAAAAGAAGAACTTCAAGAAAGAGACTGCTTAGTGGTTAATAGCACTTGCTACTCTTGTAGAAAACCCCAGTTCACTTCCAGAACTCACCCCTACCCCAGTTCCAGGAGAATTAAGTGCTCTCTTCTGGCCTCCTTGGGCAGCATGTACACATGAAGTGAACTTACATACATGCAGACAAGCAAAACATACTTCCTAGGGCTGTCAGTATAATAAAGACAATGCCAGAAGGTCTATTGTTACATGAAGGGCCTGCTTGTTTGAGGGCCGGCTTGTTGGGGTTTTTTCTGTCTTGCCCGACCCCCAGCTGTTTAGTCCCAAAGTAAAATCACACAAGAGATCTCTTTAAGTTATAATGCTGATTGGCCCATTAGGTCAGGCTACTTATTAGCTAACTCTTCCATCTTGATTAACCCATTTATCTGATCTATTGTAGCCATGTGGCTCAGTACCTTTTTCAGTGTGGCAGCTCACATCCTGCTGCTTTGGTGGCCTGGGCAAGAGTGGGAAGAATCAACTTCCTCCTCCCCAGAATTCTCCTGCTCTCCTTGCATCATTTCCACTTCCTGTCTAGTTTTCCCACCTACACCTCTTGCCTGGCCAATCAGCGTTTATTTAAAACATGATTGACAGAATACAGGCAATTCTCCTGCACCAGTCTATGACAGATGATGGATTTTGTTACAGGACTTGACACATCATCAGCTTTGAATAACACTCAACTCCTTTCCTCCTGTCAGAAGCTCTTCTCTCCTGAGGGTCATTTGATTGCATGTGATTATTTGACCAGAGCCCAAAGGCTTGAGTTGCGAATTGAATACTAAACAATGAATTATTTGACAAATATTGAAATTTAAGAGCATTCAGAACTATGCAAGTATGAGGGCATTGAATATTGAGGGAGCTGGTGAGATGGTTCAGTAGATAAAGGTAACTGTGGCCAAGTTTGACTACGTGATTTAGATCTCTGGAGCCTGAATAGTGGAAAAACAGAACTGACTCCCATAAGCTGTTCTCTGATGTCCACATGCAGTGCTTGCACACACATACAAAATAAATAAAATGCCATTAAAGGAACACTGGGAATCTTACACGTTTGTGAGTCATTTAATTCATTATATGAATTTGAATTATTTGTTAAGAAGGTTGCCCAGGACATTGACAAAAATACCTCTCACCAGGGGAGAGGCGTGGGGATTTACAAATAGTCAATAATATGAAGATGTGAATGAAAATAATAAAATGGAGGAACATATAAAATAATATTGAGAGAGAATTCCAGTGAGTCTGAAAATTTGCCCACATTTAATTTCCAACTTACCCTGACCTCAAAAGGTAGGAGTAAGACAAAAGACTGCATTAACAAGATACAAGCAAAGGAACATACCAATTGAAGGTGGCGGGCTACATTCATAATTAAACATTCTGTTGCTAGAACAAAATAAATCACACTCACACACTAGACCAAAACATTCGGCAGGCAGACCACTCCCTGGGTGGAATCCCAAGTTATCTCCATAAAGGGAACTGGAACTTAGCTGGATCATTAGACTCTTATTTGAGGTAGGAACAATCTTCTCTATTCCTGGAGCACAAGGTCTAGCTATTAGCCACATCTGTTGACAGTAATCTTTAGAGAACAGAAATCTCTGATCTACAGCTAGGTGGGTAAGTTGCAACCTCTGATTTTTGGTCAACCTGGAAATGGGCTCACATTTCTGGGACTCCACTGAAGTCTGTGTCTTCATGATTTGATTTTTATGGGCCCACAACAAATATTTATATTTTCTGGATATTAACCTATTTGCTATTAAGTAGCAATTGTTTCCTGGTGTATTAATTATAGTTTACACCAACCAGATGTTCCACATGCTGTCTGCATAGGACGTGTTATGAAAGGAGAGAAAATCTGTTTCTTGAGACTGTTGTTACAACTTTTGAAACTGTGCTTGAACTGTCCAATATCAGAGCACTCTTCACTTATGAGTAAAAATGTTAAATTCCTTATAGACTCAAATTTCCTTTGTGTGTGTAATTTCCAAACTGACAAAAGTCATTACAGCAGATACTTATACATGTAGAACTGTAACTGAGACCCTGGTCTGATACACTTTGGGAAAGTATGTTCTGTCACAAAGATCCAAGTTCCTGGCTAATTTAATAGTTTTCTCACATTATAGTCATTACTGTAAGTCACAATGTAGATGGCTTAGACACTGTGGCTTATTCTTTCTAAGAAGTTCTTGCTATTGGGACACTAGCTCATGATAGACAAGACCCCAATGACAGCTGGAGGATGCGACTGACAGGTCTTCACTTAAGCTGAGGAAGCACTAAGTGAAAAAGGAATAAGTTTGATCAGTCAGTCTCAGCCTTGAGTGAGATGTTATTGAAACTGAACAACTTGCTGGGCTGTGGTGGCACATACCATTAATCCCAGCACTGGAGAGACAGAGGCACTTATGCTGAACCACAGGCTCAAGCTGTTTACTATGAACAATTCTTGTCCCTGTGCCACAAACCAGCCTTAAATGCTTGTGACAGGGTTCAAGAACTAGTAAAATGAATTGGATCATATACCAGGTTTGAGCAGGGTCAGAGAGAACCCTTTAGTAGCCTTTTACAAAGATTAACTAAGGCTGTATAAGTAGGAATAACAGACCCAGATGCTAGACAAGTACTTATTGAATCTCTGTCTTTTGAAAATGTCAACTTAGAATGCAAAAAGATACTTGGGCCTTTAAAGGTTAGATCAGCACCAAAGGATGAATGGGTCCTGCATACAATAAACATTGAGACATTTGACTATAATACTGAATCTTGGGAAGAAGAAGCAATTTCCAAAGGAATGAGGAGACATCAAAATGCCAAATGCTTTAATTGTGGTAGAATGGGACATCTGAGAAAGGAGAAAGGATTGTAGACAAGGAATTCCTAGGTATAATATCTCCTCTGGGAATGGCAAGAGTAGGAGGACTCAGTCTTCAGGTATATGTGAAAGGTGTGGCAAAGGCCGACATTGAACCAATGAATGCAGATCACCAAAAGACAGACAAGGCAATCTGATACTATAAGGACGCTACTTGGGGAGCCTCTCACATGCCCCCAAGTCAAAAGTGGTCCAGTCAATGCCAGTCACTGTGGAGAACATGTTTCATCAGGAAAATTCAAAATATCTAGAGCCTTTGTAAAAAAAAAAAACAAACCAAAAAAAAAAAAACAACCACAACTCATACCATTCTAGATAATGGAAGAAATATAGAAGATAAATAAGAAACGTGAAGAAGGACACTTAAAAGAAATCCCACATTAGCTCAGAATTGAGAAATAAATGGTTATTTATTTAGGGGTAGACTCACAAATTAGAATCTTTTGCCAGAATGGAGATCAGAAACTGAATCTAGCAGCCAGAAAAGAGAGACTGAATACATGCTTTACATTGGCTTAAATAGTATAAGAGGCTACACCCCAGTGGGCGGGTAATTACTGGCTGTAAGCCTTCCTACAGCATCTCCCCCTTTTGTTTAAATAAGAGAGTTCTAAGCCTAATAATAATTATATACAATAAGAACAAATATATTCAATAATTATTCTAGCCTAACTAGTTTAAGTCTTGTATAATAAATAACTTGGCCAACTCACGAGAGGAAAGTAACTACAACTATTTAGTCTTCAACCCCAATGAAGATCCAAGAAAGGAAATAATATTACTTGAGTAAGCAGGAAGTACAATTAAGCAACTTCCAAAATGTGCAACAAATGACAGAGACAACTGGCTGCCTGAGCAATCACACAAAGTCTCATTTTCAATGTTGAAACAATCAACTTTGGCTAAGGCCTAGAATAACTGACAGACCATTTTCGGAGGGAGGAAAATTTTCAAAACCATCTTATCCTGTCTTGGCAAGATTTGACAGTCCTGCTTATCCATTTCTGGATACCACGTATCTTGTCAGTGGTTGAGGCATGGGCAGTTCTTTGCCCAAAGGCCGGTTTTGCCAAAAAGAAAAGAAGCTCCAAGTGGAGTGTCTTTGGTGCTCAACATTCTCTCAGGAATAGACCAGTGCTGCCAGGAGCAATCGTGTCTCACTTCAACAGAACCCTAAATTATTTAAATGCCATATTCTACAGCTCTTTGAAATGGTTGAAGATTATCTATCTATGCAGAATACAATCTCTATGTATCTAAAGAACCTGATTCGTCTAACTATAAGTATGACAAACATGGATGACTATTGATCTATGATTCTTAATACCTATATAACTTAAAGACTGAGACATCATATTAGAATATTATGCAATAAACAACTGTGCAACTAGTAAGGACCATGACCTCAAAATGTAAACAATGTATAAGTATCTTTATCAGAGGTAGAAATGTACATTGCAATATGATAGATATATATCAATATATAAAAATGTTTTAAGCAGAGGTAGAAACATGCATATAATATTCAATATAATTTAACTTTCAGCAGCTTCAATATGCAAGACAACTCTTTTTGCATATTGTGAATCAGTAAGTATATTAAGAGGTTCTTTAAATTTCCTTAGCTCCATGAGAATAGCATATAATTCTGCCTTCTGGACAGAATTATATGGGCTTTGTTCCACACAGTCAGACAGTTGTAGAAAGATCAAATCAAACTATAAAGGATATGTTAAAAAAAACAGAAAGGGATGGAAAATACCCCCAGAAATAGATTACATAATGCTTTATTAACCTTGAATTTTCTTAATGCTATGAGAAAGGGACAACAGCAGCAGAGAGACTTTGGATAATAGAAAAGTCATCAGAATTAAATCAGCTGGTATATTTCCAGGATGTGTTGACCTCTCACAATGGAAACCAGGAGATGCACTACTTTGGGGAAGGGGTTTTGCTCTTGTTTCCACAGAAGGAAAAACTATGAATACCTTCAAAATGAATAAAGATTCGCTTTGAAAAAGAGAACTCTCTGGAGAAAGAGAAATGACAGCTCATCCACAGTGGTGACAACCATACAGGTGGTAAGGAAACGATATAGGGTTGGGACAGGGTTCTGTTCTTGTCTTTGCAGGAAAATACTCATCTTCAAAAAGTTAAGAGACCCTGGATATCTAGACGCTTAAACAGAAAAAGATAATTATCCAGATAGCATCACCAAGCAAAGAGAATTATCACTTGTGAGGACATGTCATCTGAGGGTAAGAATCTCTGAATACTAACTAGAATTCACTTAAAAATCAAAGCTGGCTTTGGAGTTGGACAATGGATCTGTCCTTCTCTAAATCCAAGTTTGTTGTTAAAAGAAAAATTCAGAGTTTCTGTCTTATGTCAAGTGCTGTCTGGTATCGGACAGAAAGAAGAAAGAATTTAGAAATAATTTTACTCTTCTTCATACCTATTTTTGTCTCTATTATACTTTTCATTGAATATATATATATATAATGTCTGCATATGTGTATTTAAATTGTGTTTAAGTTTTCCATAATTAAGAATGAATTTTCTTGCAGTAATCTTTGAAGTTTCCAAGAAGATGGGGCCCCACCACAACTCCACCTGGTTGATATGACGTCACGATGCCGATAGCACTACAACTTTTTTACAATGTTTTGGCCAGAACTCCAAATAGGAACCTCAGAAATCCCTACTGAATACTCAGAGACTATTTGCAATTATATCAGAGAGTAATCTTGGAAGTTACCCACCCACTTGGGCGTGGCCTCTTGTACTATATATACCAATGTAAAGTGCAAGTCCGGCCTTTCTCTTCTGGCTGTTGGATTCGGTTGCTGTTCCTCATTCAAGCAGAGGACTCCCCTAAATAAATAACCCTCTATTATACTCAATTCTGAACTAGCGTGTCATTTCTTTTAAGCGTCCATATTTACTGGGGTTAGTCACCTGTGACCTAATATAACTGCCCTGGGTGAGAACACTCATGTAGGAGTAGGTCTCTTCCACAAGATACAGGCAGTTTCCCCATTACTGATTCTACAAATAGCTGGGTTTGGATAGGATAGGTCTCCACAATCTCCATGGGGGCACAGAAGAAATGCTGCTTTCCTGAGCCTTCCTCTTGACTACATGTGTGGGCAGTCTGGGAAGTATAAGGAGCCTGGCTTCTCTTCATCACCCAGGATGCAAAGGGTATCCTTGAAGCAGTATAATTTTATTTTAAATGGATTGCATTATTCACAAATTACAAGACAAATAGGACTATCCCTATATGCCTAAATATAGGGGTCTCTGAAAGGCCTGCCATATCCCCAGTGTTCTTTCAGTCTGATGACTGATCCCTCCTACATTGTTAGAATACATCTACAAAAAGGCAAAATCAAATATATTTGTTTCTCCAAGACATCAAAAGCATTAAAAGCTAGCAACCTACAAACCTAGCTTAATCTTTTATTATCTTTTATGAGAACTCAAAATATCTTCATAATCATTGTTATGTACCCATACAATAATGTCTTCAATTTTTTCAGAATGAGTATTATACAGATGAAAACTTTCCATATATAAGTTACATGCTTTAAAACAAAAATAGAATATTTGGTCTCTAGCAGTTGTGTTTAAATCCCAGTTCCAACTTCTTCATTTCTAACCATAGATAATTCTGCTTTTCAGGGAGGAGCTGGGGCACCATGAAGGGCGGCTGACTCATGGTGGCTCATGACTGGTAGCTCATATTCTCTATGCTATTTTAAAAGTCTCAGGAGGAAAGGCAGCATTCCAAGATAGGTGAGCAGCTGTTAACCCCAGGTCTTTGCAGAACACGAACAGTTATAGAGGTCACCTCAATGCAGCCAGAGGCCTCCACTATAGCATCTTTCTTTGCAGATTCAAAAATCTAGGCATATGGTGCTGGAGAGATGGCTTGGTGGGTAAGTGTGCAGTCTGTTCTTCCAGAGGTTTGAGTTTAATTCCAAGAAATCACATGATAGCTTACAAAAAAAAAGTCTAGGAGTATAGTGCATGCGTGTAATGTAAGCCCTTGGAAGAATGAGGCAGGAGGATGACCGTGAATCTGAGATCAGCCTGGGTTACACAGGAAAATAAAAAGACCCTGTATAACAGCAACGGCAACATAAAAATAAAATGGAGGAGAATCTAGGAATACCCCTCCTCACTCGACCACCACATAGATGGGTGCATCCCAGTACTCCAGAGTCTGAAGAAAGGTGATCTAGAGTTCCATACCAGCTTAGATGACGTAAGAAAGTGCTGTCAAACAAAAAACAATCCAACAAACAAAACCTGGAGGATAAGAAGGGAAAAAGCAGAATCAGGTTTAAATTCAAAAATGATGAAGAAGAGGACATAGAACTCAGAATAAACTGAAAGTGTGTGGTAATTCTCCAGAAAATTTGTCCAGATAGACAAATTCCAGAAATCTTTTTGGCTAACCTGGTGTCCCAAGAGTCAAGCTTATAATTACACAAGCTGTGTGAGATATGTCAAAGGCAATTTGTAGAAAGGTCAGAGAATATGAAGGATCTCAGCACTTTTCATGTTTTGATTGGAAGAACAACAAGTGATACTTCAGAGGGCTATTGGTATAATTAAGACAAATACCAGATGGGCCATCACAGATGACGGACTTTGTTACAAGACTTGACACATCATCAGCTTTGAATAACACTCAACTCCTTTCCTCCCAGTCAGTAGCTTTTCTCTCCTGAGGGTCATTTGATTGCATGTGATTATTTGACTAGAGCCCAAAGGCTTGAGCTGCGAGTTGAATGCTAAACAATGAATTATTTGACCAACATTGAAATTTAAGAACATTCAGAGCTGTGCAAGTATGAGATCATTATTAACACAGACTTTGTCCTAGAGAGAGCTACAGAAAGAAAGAAAAGGGAGGAAGGAAGAGAGGGAGGGAGGGGAGGGAGGAAGGAAAGAGGAAGGAAGGAAGGGGAAGGAAAGGGGAAGGGAAGGGAATAGAAGGGGAGAGGGAGCCCCACCTTCATTCTTACTGAGGTAACAGCTTCTTTGAAAGATACAAAATGTACTAAATGTCTAGGGCTACTCCCTCTAACATTAACACTTTTGTATTTGAAGACCAGAGTCTGGAAATTGTGTAGCTTTGTGAACAACCCCTCCCTTTCTGCTAGGGACCAAAATGCCTGCTGTGTCTGATGTCACAGACAGTCCAGGCAGCGACCAAACTCTGTGTTGATTTCTGCCTCCTGTAAAGCACCAAGGGGGAGAATCCCTCACAGCCTCCCGCTTTTGCTCCTGCAGCTTTCCAAACAAACTGGGCGGGATGGGAGTGTCTTCTTGGCTCTGGAAATCAATCCTCCTACCTTGTCCTGAAGCTACCCGCCACCCTTCCCGGGCCCTCCCTTCTCAGTGATTTTCCTGTCCTGGACTCCGGACAAGAGGGAGCGGACCCCGCCCTAAAGGTAGGAGCCCAGTCGTGCGGCTGAGGGCCGGGGGTCTCAGAGCCCTCCGCCAGTCTCCTCACTGCACTTGGCGCGAACTTGGGGGCGGCGGCCACCGTGCCTCCGGCGCCAGCGACAAGGAGGAGCTTCCAGCCGCGTCGCACGCAGCCGCCTGGGACGCGGAGCCGGCACGGCGGACAGTGAGGGGACCGGCGGCCGTCTCGGACTCCCGGTGCCGCAGCGCCCTGCTCCGCTCCCCGGCCACATCTAGGGAGCACGAATAGTGTCCGTGCCACCTCGCTCAGGCTTCCGCTTGTCCCCGACTCGGGGACCCGATGCGACAGGCGCCGCGGGACGGACGGCTGCGCGCAGCGGAGAGCGGAGAGCCCCGGCCGTGGAGTCCCGCACATGTCTCTGCGGTCATCGCGCCCGGGCCTGGGTAACTCTCTGCGGCTGGCCGCGCTGCGGGTTTGCTTGACTAGGGGTGCTGGGAGACTGCGTCTCACACTCAGCTCGGGGTTTGGGGGTGCAGTCCAAACATTCCAGCTCTGCAGCTGCTGAGAAGTAGGGAAGGGGGCTTTGTGCGCTCTCACTGCCTCCGTCCCCCACCAACCCTTGGGAGATACGGAAGCCATAGGGCCCTAAGACCCTCCAGTCAACCGGGTGTGCGGGGTGCCTGGCCGGGAGCTCTACTGTAGTGTCTTCAGTATCCTGGAGCTGTTAGGAAGAAACCTGGTCGATCAGCACCCAGGGGCACAGGGACCCTCCTCTCCTTAATCTCCCCCGTGCCTGTGATCTCCTCCTACTCTGTGTTGGGAGGCCGACCCGGGTGCACGGTTCCTTGCCCACCATTGTTTGTGAAAGGGGCCAGTGAGTCTGGAAGGTTCTTCTCCTTTACCATACAAAGTTTTCTGAGAGATCCTCCTTGCCACGTTAAAACTAAACCTAGCAAAATATCGAGGCGGTTTGTTTGGAACAAAGGGCGACGGTGAGAAAACTGCAGTTTGGGCTGCGGTGAATTTTTAAGATAAGGAAGAAGAAACTTGTTATTTTGCGGTTGTTGCCTCGGGAGCTTCAGTGGGCTTCAGCTCTTTTCTTGTGCACTGTTATTTTGGCTTAAAAGAAAGTCTATAAGAAGCGAATTCTAGAAACTAAAGAAACTCGTCTTTTAAGATCTTTAGAGGAAGCCGAGAGAAGAGCAGGCTGGGGTGAAGAATTTTGTTTAAAGATAATGTTTAAAAATTGTGTGTGGGGTGGGACGGGAAGTACATGGTAGGTGCTAGCCTATCAGAAGCAACAGAGTCTAAATTCTGAAGTCAAATTTGCTTTTAAGAGGACCTTACTACCACGGTTAGAGGATGATTTAGAATGACAGAACCTTCATGGCTCTGGTGCCCCATCCGGCTGACCTTCAGGCCTCTTAACACATCCTCAGATCTCTATGGCCCCCTCTAATAGGCTTCCCTGACTAACTCTGTGGGTCTTAAAATCGAACTTTCCCTTCTGACCACAGAACTAACTATCTTTTTGTTCACACGCTGTCGTTAAACATTCCGGAAGGCCTGACCAAAATGCCCAGCTATTTTTCATCAGAAAGCATGCTGATTTGATGTTTGCTAATTGGTTCCCATTGCCTCCTTTTCATCTCTTCAGGGATTTCTTTTTCAATCAAGATAAGAAAAAAATCAAAAATTAAAAAAAAAAAAACCCTTAGTTACTTTGACTTTGAATAAGGCTGGCTATTTCAGAGGCTCCTCAAATAAAGACAGTTTTGGATCAAGGGAACTTTTGTAGGAAATATCTGTATGAACCTGATTTGTTTTTCCAAGATGCCTCTTAGGCTAATGTAGAACAGGCAGAGCAGGCATTCATTGCTTAATAGCCCTTTCCTTGAAAAACGTTCTTGCACAGTCCCTGATCACTGTTGGATCCCACTGGATCCTGATGTAGTAGTGGTACAACTAAATGGGACTGTGAAAATGCTTCAGGAGACCGACAGCAGCTACCATTTTTTTTTCTTCTGTCCCAAATCAATACAAAAAGAATGTAAGAATCAAAAATAATATATGGGCCTGACAGAAGAATGCAATCAATATGCATCAGTCTATGTTTTGTGAAGTTGTAATTCTCAAGTTTCCCATTCCTGAACCCAGTGGCAGAGGACGGAATTCCACAGCCCCTCCTTCAGTTAGAGATACTTCCGTGTTCCCCATTGTGAAGCGCAGATGAATAATGCCCTGCTTCCGACTCCCCGATAAGCATTGTCAGTTCATCACGCAGACTCCAGATGGCTTTCATGGAAATGATGATCTTTGACAGGGCTGGGGACGTCCCTTTAACCTAGATAGTGCCCCCTGAAGAGGGAGGGCATGGCAGAATGGAATGTGTGTGGAGCACCCACTTTGTCCCTGGTGTGTTCTCACGTGTCATTTCGTTTAATTTTCCCAGCAATGCTGAGACAAAACATTTAGCCCACTTTCAAAGCTTAAAAAAAGAAGACTTCTTTAAGAGAAGTTGTGATGAATCCTGTGGAAGTCTGTCCATTTTACATCTTTATGGAACCTTGCAAATGGCACAGCATGTATTCTTCACAAATTCGCCCATTCTTTGTTTACGTCTTCACACACACACACACACACACTCTATAGTTTGATCTGGTTGGTTGGTGGTTCTTCCCTACACTCCAGAGAGGCTTGGAGAGATCATTTGCACGCTTTGGTGCCCTTTCCAATTGACATTCTCAGACTTTGTTTCTCGTGCAGAGTTTAATGCACCCTTGGAGACACTGTGTCTGACCAATCTAGGCAGTCAGCTGACTCCACCGGGTTATAATCTAAACTTCTTTGCTTCCTGAAAATATAGCAAGAAGCTCCTTTCCTTCAAAGGCCGGCTGTGTCTTGTCTGTCAGTCTTTCAGAATCACATTCTCATCCGTCAAAATAAAATGAACCCTTTCCTTGCGTACTCCTGCTAACATGGATAATGGCATACTCCTGAGTTCTGAGTTAGCACTTAGGATTTGAAAATGTATTGGAGAAAGAGAGATGGCTCAATGGGTAAAGGTGCTTCCCATCACGCCTGAGATCCTTTTTGGGGACCAACGTGGTAGAAAAAGAGATCTGATTCCAAAGCTGTACAATGGTGTGGAACAAGCTTGACTTGTGTGACAGAATAGTACACATGGCTTTGCATGTGTCAGTTCTTACCAGTTACCTATCGGATTGTCAGAAATAGTGGCGACTTGCTTTTCATGAGTGGAAGGAGCTTTTTCCTGATGGTGACGCCTCCTATTACAATTACCTCAGACTTGATCAAGAACTTTCCTTGTCCCCTCAGGCTAGGGAAGGCTGAGATTCTGGGAGAAAAGTTATAAAGGTGAGACTAAGGATCCATAAGATCCCATTTTGGAATTTTTCTTCTTGCTCATCACAGTGGGAACTGGTGGCCTATCTCTCCTTGCCACACTTTCACATCGGATGCCAGGGGATATCCTTTCATGGGAAATTTGGAAAAAGTGGGAGGCCATCAACCATCTCTTAGGAATCCTTATCACAAATGTTGAAAAACAGAGTAGAAAGGCCCTGCTTTCCGTTTTCTCTTTCTTCTTCTCATATATGTGTGGACATACATATACAGATGACATCAGTTTCTCAGTCGCATGTAAATACTTTGAAGACTCTCTAATCATTTATATGCTTTTTAATCTCATTGAGAATGGAAGGATTCTTTTTCAAAATACTTGGTGTGAACTAAGGCCTCCAGATGAGATGCAGGAAAGTTAGCTATTCCCTCTAGGGTCGTTCTTCCTTCCCGGTTGTGGAAGTAGGCCTGGAGTTGGGACGAGGAGGAAGGGAGCTGCCCTAGGAGGTGAGACAACAGAGGGAAGCAGTTTTCAGTGGATCTCGGCTGCCTCGTTGCATGGTCATTCATAAGGTAGGGCTTTCACCAGGTACAGTAAATACAACTTAGTATGTCCTGTATAGCAAGAGGGGTTCTTAGAGGATGGAGGACTGCATGGTGTAGTGTCAGACCAAACAAAATCCTATGTTCTTGTAGAGCTTCAAGGGAATCAGAATCCATGGCAAAGGTAGAAGTAAATGAAAGACACATTTCAGATGGGATGGGCGTTGTAAGGGTGGTGCACCGTGCGGGTGAGGGGAAGAGGGGATGGAGGAAAGCCGTCAGCCTCTCTGAAGTGATTGAGGGAAGTGGAGAGCAGAAGGAAGGCGATTCCAGGGAGAGGAAACGGCAGCTGCAAAGGTTCAGAGATGTGTGGATTGGAGTGTTTGGAAAAGGAAAAGTCAGTGTGGGAAGGGATGCCGGAAAACGTTGCCCCAGGAGAGAGCAAACAGTGGCGCGGAGATAGCGTTCAAGATACAGAAGGTTGGCAGATTTTATGGGGCCATCAAACCTGGTCCAGGAGCTTGAGTGAAAGTTGCTGGAGATACTTAATTGCAGGTTGCCTTTTCCCAGTGAACTCTAAACCATCCCCCACACATACATACACACTGCACAGAGATGAAGCCTCGGGTGGCTGGCTCACTGTCAATCATGGAGTTTCCTTGTCATCCCAGCCATAGGCATATGTGTACACAGGGGCAGGGCACAGAGAACCTGCACTGTACGCCTCACAGCCTCTGAAAGAGTCTCGCATATTTGCTTTACAACGAACCAAATGCCCCATGTCCCTGTGAAGCCTTTGGATTGGCTGATAATGTCTGAATCCAGATACCAGAAATTAATTATCTATTCAAATTATGTCATAGCTGAAAACAATTAGCAAGACAGTCACTTCTGAGAGTGGCAATATTCTAAATAATTCAAAGGCTTTGACTTCCCTGAATTTATATCTTATTCTCTTTACAGTCTGTCATCTAGGTTCTTTGTACAGAAATCTTGTCCCTGTCTGTGACAGTTCCTTCTCCATCCTTCTCTAGACATGATCTTGATCTTGGAAGTGTGAGAGTAGTTCACGGATCTGAGACTTATTATTTCTGATAAGATAGTAGTGCTGGTTTATCAGAAATGCTCAGACGTCTTGTAAGCTTCCAATTATTCTTTGATTCCAGGAGGTCTCATGTGACCTGCATACCACTCCCTGGGAAAGACTAGCCTAGTTTTTCGAGAGAAAATTGCTTTTGCGATTCTTTGATATGTTCATTTCTCATTACATATCCACTACCTGCTTTTCTTTGACTTTTAAAAAAAATGTAATGATATATTTTTATTTTTATGTGCCTGCATTGTCTGCGTGAGGGTGGTAGAACTCCTGGAACTGGAGCTATGGACAGTTGTGAGTGGCCATGGACTTGAACCTGGGTCCTCTGGAAGACCCAGTGTTCTTAAGCATTGAGCCATCTCTCCAACCCCTGCTTTTGGGGTTTGACTCCACTTTTCCCCCTTTTAAAATGGGGTCTTGCTGTGTAGCCCAGAACTTTTA